CTTCACAGTAGATGATCCAGATATGACTGTGTTGACTATTACACTCTGTATTTTGTTCGTTAGGAAGGAGAAGATCCATCTCCCAACTTTGCCGGTAATTCCTTGTGCACGCATTTTGTGCGTGATAACACCATGGTCACATTTGTCGAAAGCTTTTGCAAAGTATAATACATCTGCGTTTTGCTCGTCTCCCACGGCACCTCAGGCCACGTCATAGTAATCTAGCAACTGTGAGAGGCAGGAGCGCCCTGTTCTGAACCCGTGTTGTCCGGGGTTATGGAGATGCTGTGAATCCATGCGATTTGTAATCCTACTTCTTAGTACTCTTTCAAAGAATTTTATGATGTGTGAAGGCTACTCGTTTATAAATTTTTGCATCTGCTTTACTACCTCCTTTGTGAAGTGGCGCGATCTCTGCTGTTTTAAGTATGTCAGGGATGACGCCAGTATCTAGGCTCCGTCTCCAAACGATGTCTAGGGCCTGTGATAGTGGTGTTTTGCACTTCTTGATGAATATGGAATTCCAGACGTCAGGGGACCTGGTGCAGAGTGCATGGGCATGCTGTCTATGGCTACTCCCAAAGTCCAGTTGGGTTAGGGTGACATCTGATATGTGGTTCATGTTGGTGTCACATTCATGAAGGATTCATTTGGATCAGCGACCTTCAATGTGGTCAGTTCACTGAAAACAGAATCGTACTGAAGCCTCAGTATTTCACTCATTTCTTTATCATCTGTGACAGTTCCATCACCCTTGCACAAGGGGCCCAATGCTGGATGCAGTTTTTGTTCTTATTTTTACATACAAGGAAAAATATTTCGGGTTCCTCTATATTTAACTCGTGGTCTTTTGCTCTCTCTGCCTCTTAGAATTTATGATTCTCTCATCTTGAGCTCGATCATGTCTATTCCCCTACATACTATCTTGAGTATGAGTATATGACCCTACATACTACTATCTACATAGCCTTCCTCGTCGTTGTTGAGATAGAGTGGTATGTCCAGGTAAGATGGTACTACTTACGACACAAGTGGAATAATGTTGAATTATGTGGTGGGATCATGTTGAACACCAAACCCGGAAAAGTAGCTGAATTGGAGCTCGTGCAGAAAACATTTACTGCACAAATGCACTAGATAAGTCACTTAAATTATTTAAACCGCTTAGAATCACTCAGTTTGACGCCCTTGTGCTAAGGATTCATCATAATGCACATCTGGTGGAGCCAGATAATGCAACAGCCTGGTGGACCAAACTCTCACAAGTCAAGCCTGGCCTGCGGGCCGCTCCAAGCAACAGCCTGGCGGACCAAACTCTCACAAGCCAAGCGTGGCCTCGGGCCTGGCTTGGGGAGTAGAACTCCCAGAACCCCATCAACCAGGTATCTGGAAGATATTATAGGGACCGGCTCCAAAACTGAAACCGTCCCTGAAGAGACCAGGAGGCATGGCAGAATGGGGAAAATACTCCTTTTAAACGGATGTGATGGGTACGCTAAAGAGACACTTGTGTAACATTAAGGTGCCCAAGAACTGTCAACGCTTTCGTTCTTACTATATAAGGAGCATACATACCCAGACGACCTCATACAGCGTTTATGATGAAACTCGTCGACGACCGGGCCGCGGGGACGCTAAGCCCCGGAAGCACCTCAAGGTAGCCTCAAGGTAACGCCTCCGATGGGTACCAGACAGGTTCGGGAGAGTGGTTATGTCACTGACCAATTAGTATCCCCGTCCTCTGTCATGTGAACTGCGCTCCACATCTTGCGTCTGCTCTTGCGTCTGCGCCTGCTCCTGCGTCATTCAGGTGGACGGTGGGGGGGGGGGGCGCAACCACACGACTCAATGGCCAGCAACAAGGCCACCTGCCACTGAGCCTAGTACTTGAGGCCAATCGGCTACAGCTGTGCATGTGTCCAGTGTCAACACGACGAAGCTGGTATGACAAGAGAGTGGCAGGCAGGGAGGCAGGGAGGCAGGCAGGGAGGAGACTGCACTGATCATTATCCCTTAATGGTGGCAGCTCACACCCTGGTGACCCTGGGCCAAGCCCTCATTACTGGCACCCTTCCTTCCCTCCCACGTCAGGCACGGGAGGAAAGGGAGCTACTGTGGGAGGGGGACGGAACCATGGTGGAAGGTGGGAGAGGAGGTGGCCATGGTGGGAGAGGGGGGAGCTTACCTAAGCAGTAACTAGGAGAGAGAATAATATGCCAACTAGGACCATCAAAGCCGCTACTAGCCAACAGGATCAAGGCAGCAACTGATTTCATAAATAACTTTGAGAAGTAATAGAAAATTAGCACAAATAAACAAAAGTTCCAAATAATACACATTGCAAAAAGAAACCCGGACCCCGTTATCCTTGACAACCGCCCGATCCAATATGCGGAGGTCGGCAGAATACTGGGACTTATGATCAATGGAACAAGGATAAAAATTCGCGTAAGGGACCGACTAAACAAAGCCAAAGCAGCCTTAGGGAAACTGAGGAGATTACGAAGCCTCAGTACAAACATTCAGATCCACCTATATAAGGCTCTAGTTCGGCCGCATCTAGAGTATCCCCCAGTACCACTACACACCTTAAAGAAACTAACATGCAAGAACTCCAAGCAGTGGGAAATAGAGAGCTAAGGAGAGCAGCAAAACACCGTCCACCATATGATCAGACAATCCAGGAGCTCCACGAACTCCTGAACACACAGCCACTAAACATCAGACTGCAGCACCAAGCCATCAGGGTGTGGAACACCATCGAAATGTTAGAGGACCCAATGTTAGAAAGATTACTCCAAGATGAGACGCCTCACTCCCACAGCTGGTGGCCCAAGATGAGACGTCGACGTCTGTCTACACGTGAGACGTCGACGTCCGTCTACACGTGAGACGTCGACGTCCGTCTACACGTGAGACGTCGACGTCCGTCTACACGTGAGACGTCGACGTCCCTCTACACGTGAGACGTCGACGTCCCTCTACACGTGAGACGTCGACGTCCCTCTACACGTGAGACGTCGACGTCCCTCTACACGTGAGACGTCGGACATACCCATATTATGAAGTTACTGAAAGGATGCTTGGAAGAAAACTGACCATTTATGTGTGGGAAAGTTACATAGTGCAGGTTAGTACAGGAGCAAGTAGCTCTCGTCTTTCACAAGTACTTGCATAAATTACGTCAAAATTGGAATCATTCCGAGCGAACCAAAAATGCATACCTGCTTGATACCTGGTTGATGGGGTTCTGGGAGTTGTTCTACTCTCCAAGCCCGGCCCGAGGCCAGGCTCGACTTGTGAGAGTTTGGTCCACCAGGCTGTTGCTTGGAGCGGCCCGCAGGCCGCATCATGTACATGCATCATACATCATGCACATAGATTTTGAGAAGGCATTGTACATCTGATCTTGGAGTAATAGGCTAAAATGAAAGCTAACAAGTAGAGGGGATCTTTATTTCTTTATTAAATTAAATAAATTTCTTTATTTTAATTTCTGACAAATGGATTGGCAAGATAGGAAGGTAGTACTCCGTACCGTACCCAGCTTGAGTACGGTACGTTCGGTACGGAGCCACCCCCCCCTACCCTCAAGGTACCGTCCTTGCACCATTAGTTGTTGTTATCTTGATCTTGAGGTTATCTTTAGATGATTTCGGGGCTTTTTAGTGTCCCCGCGGCCCGGTCCTCGACCAGGCCTCCACCCCCAGGAAGCAGCCCGTGACAGCTGACTAACACCCAGGTATCTATTTTACTGCTAGGTAACAGGGGTATAGGGTGAAAGAAACTCTGCCCATTGTTTCTCGCCGGCGCCTGGGATCGAACCCAGGACCACAGGATCACAAGTCCAGCGTGCTGTCCGCTCGGCCGACCGGCTCCCTGTTGTTGAAGATTCGCTACTGGGAACAAAAAGTCCCAAGTAGCACGGGCTATGGTGAGCCCGTTTTCTCGTCCTCTTGCAAAATAAAGACGAATCTACAACACACACACTTGCCTCTTATCCTTTGTAGATTACTTTGCAGCTACATTGCATTTACCTTGCGGTGCTTCCGAGGATCATCGTCCCCCGAGGCCCGGTCACTGACCAGGCCTCCTGGATAGTGGTGAGACTAAAGTATCTAGGACAATTTAAATAGTGTAAATATAGGGAAAAAAAACATATCATCAAAAACTTTCAATGGCCAACAGAAAGTAACATGACATTCAATGTTGATGAATGTCAAATGAACAAATCCACAAGGGCCGTGACGAGGATTCGAACCTGCGTCTGGGAGCATCCCAGACACTGCCTTAATCGACTGAGCTACGACAGGGTAAAAGGGTTGAAACCCTGTCTTTGAAACTCTTTTACCCTGTCGTAGCTCAGTCGATTAAGGCAGTGTCTGGGATGCTCCCGGACGCAGGTTCGAATCCTCGTCACGGCCCTTGTGGATTTGTTCATTTGATGCATCACGTTAGTGTGATCTCTGTGTGTGTTGATGAATTTCAGTTACTTTGGTATGGAAAATAGGAAAATAAAAGGAGTACAAGATACAAGACTAAGACGTCACAGGAAGAAGGAGTCCAAGTCAAAGATCCTGAAACGTAAGACCAAATTAATATTTAGAGAGCACAACGGAGCCAAGAAAAATGTGGATAACGAGAACACTCATAAGATGGATGCTAGACCAATGATGGCATTCTTCAGAGCCATTTGTGTTATCTTGAATGGACTGTTATCGTGTCCTCATATCTCCTTTCAAAGCAGCCTAGATAGCAGAGCTATTAAATATAGAGAGATCCTTAACTGCTATCACTGAATCAGTAATACTGAACCCATATACTGCTGGGACGGCCTGAAAGCACTCAAACTGTATTCATTAGAATAGAGAGTTAAGTTAATGCTCTAATACTAAAGAGGCCTCTTAATATACTCATAAAATTAAGACATTCAAGGCCCAAAACCTCCAACATTTAAGTGGTAGTAAGCAGATTTAATATTTTTTTTGTAATTTTTTAAGTTCCAAGGGTACAAACCAAGGGTTCCAAGGGTTCCAAACTGAGTACAAACTCAGTAAGAGTTTACTGAGCAACGTCACTCATCCTGGAAACAAGACATCACAGTCTAAACATCAGAGGCTCAGGACTCTTCTCTAAAAACATATATATATTGCTAGAACAACAATACAAGCCTTCGGAAGAGAGAGGAACATGATCAGTGTCTGCTGGGATCAGCCTGGCTGTGATGGCTACGTGGACTGTAGGCTACTAAGACTAATTAGCCTCTTAGACCAGAAATCATTAGGGGAGGCTGAGCCCAGGCCGACCAGCGATAGGACATAAATTAAATCATCCGCGGGTAATCCATAGGTATGTGGGAGGTGGTGATAGTGGTGTATGTGGGAGGTGGTGATAGTGGTGTATGTGGGGGGTGGTGATAGTGGTGTATGTGGGGGGTAGTGATAGTGGTGTATGGGGGTGATAGTGGTGATAGTGGTGTATGTGGGGGTGGTGATAGTGGTGTATGTGGGGGTGGTGATGGTGGTGTATGTGGGGGGTGGTGATAGTGGTGTATGTGGGGGGTGGTGATGGTGGTGTATGTGGAGGGTGGTGATAGTGGTGTATGTGGGGGTGGTGATGGTGGTGTATGTGATGGGTGGTGATGGTGGTGTATGTGGGGGTGGTGATAGTGGTGTATGTGGGGGGTGGTGATAGTGGTGTATGTGGGGGGTGGTGATAGTGGTGTATGTGGGGGGTGGTGATAGTGGTGTATGTGGGGGGTGGTGATAGTGGTGTATGTGGGGGTGGTGATGGTGGTGTATGTGGGGGGTGGTGATAGTGGTGTATGTGGGGGTGGTGATGGTGGTGTATGTGGGGGGTGGTGATAGTGGTGTATGTGGGGGGTGGTGATAGTGGTGTATGTATGTGGGGGTGGTGTATGTGAAGGGTGGTGATAGTGGTGTATGTGGGGGGTGGTGATGGTGGTGTATGTGGGGGTAGTGATAGTGGTGTATGTGAAGGGTGGTGATGGTGGTGTATGTGAAGGGTGGTGATAGTGGTGTATGTGAAGGGTGGTGATAGTGGTTTATGTGGGGGTGGTGTATGTGGGGGGTGGTGATGGTGGTGTATGTGGGGGTAGTGATAGTGGTGTATGTGAAGGGTGGTGATGGTGGTGTATGTGAAGGGTGGTGATAGTGGTGTATGTGAAGGGACGGTGATAGTGGTGTATGTGAAGGGGGGTGATAGTGGTGTATGTGAAGGGTGGTGATAGTGGTGTATGTGAAGGGACGGTGATAGTGGTGTATGTGAAGGGACGGTGATAGTGGTGTATGTGAAGGGTGGTGATGGTGGTGTATGTGAAGGGTGGTGATAGTGGTGTATGTGGGGGGTGGTGATGGTGGTGTATGTGAAGGGACGGTGATAGTGGTGTATGTGATGGGTGGTGATAGTGGTGTATGTGAAGGGTGGTGATGGTGGTGTATGTGGGGGTGGTGATAGTGGTGTATGTGGGGGGTGGTGATAGTGGTGTATGTGAAGGGACGGTGATAGTGGTGTATGTGAAGGGTGGTGATAGTGGTGTATGTGGGGGGTGGTGATAGTGGTGTATGTGGGGGGTGGTGATAGTGGTGTATGTGAAGGGTAGTGATGGTGGTGTATGTGAAGGGTGGTGATAGTGGTGTATGTGGGGGGTGGTGATGGTGGTGTATGTGAAGGGACGGTGATGGTGGTGTATGTGAAGGGTGGTGATAGTGGTGTATGTGAAGGGACGGTGATAGTGGTGTATGTGAAGGGTGGTGATGGTGGTGTATGTGAAGGGTGGTGATAGTGGTGTATGTGGGGGGTGGTGTATGTGAAGGGTGGTGATAGTGGTGTATGTGGGGGGTGGTGATAGTGGTGTATGTGAAGGGTAGTGATGGTGGTGTATGTGAAGGGACGGTGATAGTGGTGTATGTGGGGGTGGTGATAGTGGTGTATGTGGGGGGTGGTGATAGTGGTGTATGTGAAGGTGGTGGTGATAGTGGTGTATGTGAAGGTGGTGGTGATAGTGGTGTATGTGAAGGTGGTGGTGATAGTGGTGTATGTGAAGGTGGTGGTGATAGTGGTGTATGTGAAGGTGGTGGTGATAGTGGTGTATGTGGGGGGTGGTGATAGTGGTGTATGTGAAGTGGTGGTGATAGTGGTGTATGTGAAGGTGGTGGTGATAGTGGTGTATGTGAAGGTGGTGGTGATAGTGGTGTATGTGAAGGGTGGTGATAGTGGTGTATGTGAAGGGTGGTGATAGTGGTGTATGTGAAGGGACGGTGATAGTGGTGTATGTGAAGGGTGGTGATAGTGGTGTATGTGAAGGGTGGTGATAGTGGTGTATGTGAAGGGTGGTGATAGTGGTGTATGTGAAGGGACGGTGATAGTGGTGTATGTGAAGGGTGGTGATAGTGGTGTATGTGAAGGGTGGTGATAGTGGTGTATGTGAAGGGTGGTGATAGTGGTGTATGTGAAGGGACGGTGATAGTGGTGTATGTGAAGGGACGGTGATAGTGGTGTATGTGAAGGTGGTGGTGATAGTGGTGTATGTGAAGGGTAGTGATAATGTGACATTATAATTTGCGTTAATGATGATACAGGTGGTAATGGCACCGGTGCCACTGTTTACATTGTAGAGAGATATGACCAGCGGTGTCACTTGAGGTAGGGGCCGCTAGGGTGAGCCTAGTCAGAGTGTCAGGGTGGGCAGGTGAGTGCCAGGGTGAGCTGGGGAGTGCCACAGTGGGCAGGTGAGTGCCAGGCTGGACAGAGGAGTGCCAGGGGTAAGCCATCATTCGACACAGAGTAGTGTAATCTCTCCACCTGACCACTTCGCGACCTGCTCCTCTAGGGGTGTACCAGGACCTGAAGAGTGAGGCACCACACCAAATGGGAAGGGCATGATGGGTCAGTGTGAGAAGGGAGATAGAATAGGAGTGAGGGCTAGTATGGGAAAGAAGATCGAAATGAAGAGCGAGCCAGTGTAGAGAGAGAGAGAGAGGAGAGAGAGAGAGGGAGAGGGAGAGGGAGAGGGAGAGGGAGAGAGAGAGAGAGAGAGAGAGAGAGAGAGAGAGAGAGAGAGGGAGGGAGTACGGTAATAGTGAAATGCAATAAAGGGAGCGGGATAGCGAGAGGCGTCTCTGGTCCCAACAGCGAGCGAGGTAGGGAGTGTGTGTCTGGGGTCCCGGCGCGGCCGGCGGGCGGAGGCAGCTCCTGGGGTCTGAAGGCGGCTCCACATCGGATCTTCTGGCCCGTTTAATTTTCGTTGAACGATCAAACCCGCCCTTATCATCGTGCAGGTCATAGTCATTGATGCCGCCGTCTCTGGGCCCGCCTGGCAGATGATAGGGAGCACCAGGAAGGCAGGAGAGGGCATAGGGAGAAGGGAGAGGCAGGAAAGAGGGGAGAGGTGGGAAAGAAAAGGGGAACTGAGGGAAGGAAAAAAAAAGTGAAGTGGGTTGTTGACAAGCAGGGGGAGAGAGAGAGAGAGGGAGATTGATCAGAGGAAAGGGATTGAGGGAGAGGGAGTGGGGAGGAAGGTTGAGGGAGGGAGGGTAAGGAAAGGGAGCAAGAGTGAGGGGAGATTAAGAGTTAACACAGGGGGAGAAGGGGAGTTGGGAGAGGGGAGAGTGAATGTGAAGCTATTGTGTGTGACAAGATAAGAAAGGAGGGATGAAAAGGGAGAGGAGAGGAAGAGGGAAATGGAGATAGTGAAAGAAATGGGAGGGGGGAAAGAGACGGAAAGGGAGGGGAAAGGAGATAGACGCGGGAGATAAAGACGGAGGTAATGAGGAATGAAGGGATAGAGAGAAAAGAGGATAGGGAGGCTGGCTGTCATATCTGAAATTCACTTCCTCCTTCAGAGCAGGAGAGATTGCTGAAATAGAGGGAATACAGAGAACATATACGGCACGCATAGACACGATAAAACATCTAAATTATTGGGATCGTCTCAAAGCTCTCCAAATGTACTCACTAGAAAGGAGACGAGAGAGATATCAAGTAATATACACGTGGAAAATACTGGAGGACCCAAATCTACACAGTAAAATAACAACGTACTGGAGTGAACGATATGGAAGAAAATGCAGAATAGAACCAGTGAAGAGCAGAGGTGCCATAGGCACAATCAGAGAACACTGTATAAACATCAGAGGTCCGCGGTTGTTCAACGTCCTCCCAGCAAGCATAAGAAATATTGCCGGAACAACCGTGGACATATTCAAGAGGAAACTAGATTTATTCCTCCAAGGAGTGCCGGACCAACCGGGCTGTGGTGGGTATGTGGGCCTGCGGGCCGCTCCAAGCAACAGCCTGGTGGACCAAACTCTCACAAGTCAAGCCTGGCCTCGGGCCGGGCTTGGGGAGTAGAAGAACTCTCAGAACCCCATCACGCATGCTGGCTGGGAGCGTGGCTGGCTGGCTGACTGGCTGGGTGCGTGGGTGGCTGGCTGGCTGGGTGCGTGGCTGGCTGGGTGCGTGGGTGGCTGGCTGGCTGGGTGCGTGGGTGGCTGGCTGGCTGGGTGCGTGGCTGGCTGGCTGGCTGGGTGCGTGGCTGGCTGGCTGGGTGCGTGGCTGGTTGGGTGCGTGACTGACTGGCTGGGTGCGTGACTGACTGGCTGGGTGCGTGGCTGGCTGGCTGGCTGGGTGCGTGGCTGGCTGGCTGGGGGTGCGTGGCTGGCTGGCTGGCTGGCTGGGTGCGTGGCTGGCTGGCTGGCTGGCTGGGTGCGTGGCTGGCTGGCTGGCTGGCTGGGTGCGTGACTGACTGGCTGGGTGCGTGACTGACTGGCTGGGTGCGTGGCTGGCTGGCTGGGTGCGTGGCTGGCTGGCTGGCTGGGTGCGTGGCTGGCTGGCTGGCTGGGTGCGTGGCTGGCTGGCTGGGTGCGTGGCTGGCTGGCTGGCTGGGTGCGTGGCTGGCTGGGTGCGTGGCTGGCTGGCTGGCTGGGTGCGTGGCTGGCTGGCTGGCTGGGTGCGTGGCTGGCTGGCTGGCTGGGTGCGTGGCTGGCTGGCTGGGTGCGTGGCTGGCTGGCTGGCTGGCTGGGTGCGTGGCTG